CAGAACCAGGCTCAGGACAAGCAGCCATCTGCTTTGACCGGCTGGTTTCCTCTGTCTTGCAGAGTAATACTTCAGAGAGAAGTGACTTGGATCATCTACTTGATAATTTTACAACTACTTTGCAAACTTCACTCAATAAAGCTGCTCCTCTGAAAAAGAAAGTAATCAATCAGAGGAAATTAGTTCCTTGGTTCAGTTCTGAGTTACGTACTTTAAAACAGCCATCTAGAAAGCTAGAAAGAAAATGGTGCTCCACTAACGTTTAGGAACCTTACTTATCCTGGAGAGATAGCCTGATAACATACAAAAAAGTGCTCCTCAAAGCTAGAGCTTTATATTATTTGTCTTTAATTGATGAAAATAAAAATAACCCTAAGTTCCTTTTCATTACCATAGCGAGTCTAATAAAAAATCTCATCTCTGCTGATTCATGTATCCCTACAACTATAAGCAGTGATGACTTCATGAGATTCTTATAAATAATTTTTTTTCAATTAGGGGAAAAAATCAAACTAACACTCCTATTATCACCTCTGGCTCTGTGTCAGATGAGACAACTTTAAAAATGTCTCTAGAACCTGATATATGTTTGGACTGTTTTTGTCCTGTTGAACTTTCTGAATTGTCAAAAATACTAGCTTCATTCAAACCATCCACATGTCTGCTAGATCCCATCCCAACCAGACTATTTAAAGACGTATTTCCCTTAATTAATAACCCCGTCTTGGATTTGCTTAATTTGTCTCTAATAAACGGTTATGTTTAAACCAGCCAATAGGGAGCACAAGCCAGTGTATCTCTTGTGTCGGTCCCAAGCCCAGGTAAATGGTGAGGGTTGTGTCAGGAATGGCATCCGATGTAAAACACTTTTGCAAAACCATAATGCGAGCTCATCAAAGCGAAACCATACCGGATCGGTTGAGGCCCGGGTTAACAACGACCGCCACCGGTGCTGTTGACATACAGGGTGCTGGCGGAAATTGTGCTACTGTTAGTCCAAGACCACGAGGAGGGAAACGCATCAGGAGACAGAGAGAAAAGAGGAAATTCAAGAATATAGGACTGAGGGTTGCAACTCTAAATGTGGGGACAATGACTGGCAAAGGTAGAGAGCTGGCTGACATGATGCAAAGAAGAAAGATAGATGTTTTATGTGTCCAAGAGATCAAGTGGAAGGGCAGCAAGGCTCACAGTATTGGAGCAGGGTCCAAACTGTTTTACCATGGTATAGATAGAAAGAGAAATGGGATAGGGGTGGTTCTAAAGGAGGAGTTGGCAAAAAATGTAGAAGAGGTGAAGAGAGTGTCAGATAGGGTGATGTGCCTGAAAGTAGAAGTAGAAGGTCTGATGCTAAACATCATCAGTGGTTATGCTCCACAGGTTGGATGTGATCAAGAAGAGAAATATATATTTTGGAAAGATCTGGATGAAGTGATAGACAGTATTCCCAGGGAGGAGAGATTGGTGATTGGCGCAGACCTGAATGGACATGTTGGTGAAGGAAACAGAGGGGATTAGGAAGTGATGGGTAGGTTTGGTGTCAAGGAAAGAAACCAGGAAGGACAGATGGTGGTGGATTTTGCCAAGAGAATGGAAATGGCTATAGTCAATACCTATTTCCAAAAGAGGGAGGAACATAGAGTGACCTATAAGAGTGGAGGAAGGAGTACGCAGGTCGACTACATTCTGTGTAGAAGAGGAAACCTGAGGGAGATTGGAGACTGTAAGGTTGTGGCAAGGGAGATCGTGGCCAGACAGCATTGGATGGTTGTGTGTAGAATGACTGTGTTGTGAAGAAGAGAAAAGGGGTAAAATCAGAGAAGAAGACCAAATGGTGGAAGCTGAAGAAGGAAGAATTTTGTGAGAAAGTCAGAGAGGAGCTGTTAAAGGCTCTGGGTAGTAAGAAAGAGCTTCCAAATGACTGGGCTACTACAGCAACAGTAATTAGGGAGATCGGTAGGAAGGTACTTGGTGTGTCATCTGGACAGAGAATGGATGATAAGGAAACCTGGTGGTGGAATAGTGAAGTGCAGGACACCGTTCAAAGAAAGAGATTAGCCAAGAAGAAATATGGCAGTGAGAGGACTGAAGAGAGGAGACAGGAATATAAGGAGAAGGGACGTAGAGCAAAGAGGGAAATAGCTAAGGCAAAGCAGAGGGCGTATGATGAGTTGAATGGGAGACTGGACACTAAAGAGGGTGAAAAGGATTTGTACCGATTGGCAAGACAAAGGGTTCAGGCTGGAAAGGATGTGTAACAGGTTAGGCTTATTAAAGATAGGAATGGTAATGTTCTAACAAGTGAGGAGAGTGTGACGGGAAGATGGAAGGAGTACTTTGCGGAACTAATGAATGAAGAGAATGAAAGAGAAAGAAGAGTAGAGGTCAGAGAAACTGTGGACCAGGAAGTGGGAAAGATTAGTGAGGGTGAAGTCCGGAAAGCTCTGAAAAGAATGAAGAAGGGGAAAGCAGTAAGACCTGATGACATACCAGTGGAGGTTTGGAAATGTCTTGGAGAGATGGCAGTGAGGTTTTTGACTCAAATATTCAATGGCATATTTGAGGATGAAAAAATGCCTCAGGAATGGAGAAGAAGTGTGCTGGTGCCCATTTTTAAGAACAAGGGTGATGTACAGAGTTGTAACAACTACAGGGGAAATAAGTTGATGTGCCACACGATGAAGATCTGGGAGAGAGTTGTGGAAGCAAGACTTAGACGAGAGGTGACTATCTGTGAGCAGCAGTATGGTTTCATGCCAAGAAAAAGCACCACAGATGTCATCTTTACTTTGATAATGCTGATGGAGAAGTACAGAGAGGGTCAGAAAGAACTCCATTGTGTCTTTGTGGATTTAGAAAAAGCATATGACAGAGTGCCAAGGGAGGAGGTGTGGTATTGCATGAGGAAATCTGGAGTTGCAGAGAAGTATGCTAGACTGGTACAGGGCATGTATGAGGACAGTGGTGAGATGTGCTGTAGGAGTGAAAGATAGCTTCAAGGTGGAGGTGGGATTGCATCAAGGATTGGCTCTGAGCCCCTTCTTGTTTGCTCTGGTGATGGACCGACTAACAGATGAGGTCAGGCAAGAATCCCCATGGACGATGATGTTTGCAGATGACATTGTGATCTGTAGTGAGAACAGGTGGAAGAGAACTTGGAGACATGGAGGTATGCACTTGAAAGAAGAGGAATGAAAGTCAGCCGTAGTAAGACAGAGTACATGTGTGTAAATGAGAGGGAGGCTGGTGGAACAGTGAGGCTACAAGGAGCAGAGGTCACAAAGGTGCAGGACTTCAAGTACTTGGGGTCCACTGCCCAGGGAAATGGAGAATGTGGTAAATAAGTGAAAAAGAGAGTCCAGGCAGGATGGAGTGGATGGAGAAAAGTTTCAGGAGTGATTTGTGACAAAAGGGTGTCAGCAAAGGACAAAGGAAAAGTTTACAAGACAGTGGTGAGACCAGCTATGTTGTATGGTCTAGAGACAGAGACACGGACAAAAAGACAGGAGAAAGAACTGGAAGTGGCAGAAATGAAGATGCTGAACTTCTCCTTAGGAGTGACAAGGCTGGATAAGATTAAGAATGAGATCATCAGAGGTACAGCACAGGTTGAACAACTGGGAGATAAAGTAAGGAAGGCCAGACTGAGATGGTTTGGACATGTCAAGAGGAGGGACCATGGGCATATTGGTAGAAGGATGTTAGAAATGCAACTGCCAGGAAAAAGACAAAGAGGAAGGTCAAAGAGGAGATATATGGATGCAGTTAGAGAGGACATGAAGTTAGTTGGAGTGAGGACAGAGGATGCAGAGGACAGAGTGAGGTGGAGGAGGATGACTCGCTGTGGCGACCCCTGAAAAGGGAAAAGCCGAAAGAAGAAGAAGTCTCTAATAAATGGTTATGTACCACAGAGCTTTAAGATTGCTGTAATTAAACCTTTACTTAAGAAACATAACCTTGACTCAGGAATTCTAGCAAATTATAGACCTATATCTAATATAACTTTCATCTAAAAAATTTCTAGAGAAAATATCCAAAAAAGTTCAATCTGGTCCTCTGGACCAGATTGTCCAGAGGACCAGATTGAACTTTTTTGGATTTTTCTACCTGGATTATTGAGCATGTATCAGGATATCTAGAGAAAATAGTTGCAGGTCAGTTACATGATCATCTTCAAATAAATAATCTGTTTGAAGAGTTTCAGTCAGGGTTTAAAGCTCACCACAGCACTGAATCTGCACTGGTGAAAGTTACTAATAATATTCTCATGACCTCTGATAATGGACAGGTGTCTACACTGGTCCTGTTAGACCTCAGTGCTGCATTTGATACAGTTGATCACAATATTTTACTACAGAGACTTGAATATGATATTGGAATTACAGGAAAGGCTCTAAATTGGTTTAAATTACATTTATCTGATAGATTCCAATTTGTAAATAAAAATAATGAATCTTCATCATACACCAATGTTAGTCATGGAGTTCCTCAGGGTTCAGTACTTGGACCCATACTCTTTACCTTATATATGCTTAGGTAATGTTATTAAACAGCATGGGATAAAATTTCATTGTTATGCTGATGATACACAGATATATTTGTCCATGAAACCAAATGAATCCAATCAGCTACTTAGACTACAAGCATATCTTAAAGACACATAAAACCTGGATGACCCTTAATGTTCTGCTTCTGAATATAGACAAGACTGAGGTTTTAATTTTTGGACCTGAGCACCGTAGGAATTAATTTTTCAGTCTTTCACCTTCGTTAGATGGCATTAATCTGTCCTCCAGCTCTAATGTTAAAAATCTTGGCGTTATTTTGGATCAGGATATGTCTTTTATCCACCACATTAAACACGTTACTAGAACCACCTTCTTCCACCTGCGTAATATTACTAAAATTAGAAACATCTTATCTAAAAATGACGCAGAAAAACTGGTTCATGCATTTGTCATGTCTAGACTGGACTATTATAATGTACAGTATGTGGCTACACACCAACATGGAAATTGGTACCTCACCTATTTTTCAAGTTATCATGCTCTCAACATGCATGAATAGAGGGTATTTCCAATTCCCCTTTTCACTATGCAATGGGTGACAGTGAAAATTATGTGACATACTGTGCACATGTTACAACTGATTCTTTTATTTTTACTTAGCCCTTGTGGCCTTTTAGAAATAAAAAAGTTCCCAACCCACATGTAGAAATTGTGTTGGTGTATTTATGTTGGAGCTCACTTTGGTAAATAGCGTGTAACAGTGATGATCTTGTCTCTAAGACAAACTTTATGGAATGTCCGGCCCATGCTAAGCCAGTAAACAGTTTCCTCCTCCTCCGCTCGCCGGAACGAGACCAAACCTGCAAAATCAAGGAAGAACATGGATCATAAATGAACATCAAACTTTGTGCTCAATCATCCAGGTACGAAATCCAGTAATAGTCAATCAGGTCATCTGGACAGTTTCTTTATTGTGGAAAGACGTTTCGCCCTCTATCTGGAGGGCTTCATCAGTCTGAGGAGTCCCAACTAAACTGTTTTCCCCACTAAGCAGTACACTCCTTTAGTGGACCAACCAGTTTGCTGGTGAAAGGGTGGTTTCTGGGGGTTGTCCTGTACCCCCGTCAACTCCTCCCAGGCAGGTAGCCACAGCCAACATTGTTCACACAAAATTTCTTAACATTTCCTGTCAGAGCCAAGGATAGTATTTCCACTACTTTTATGGTCTTCTTAATTTAAGTTGCATGCAAATTCTGTTTCTAAAAGGTCAGTAATGTTTTCTAAATGTTTGTTCTCAATAAAATTAAGTATATTAAGTTTATTTACCTCTGGTGTAAAGAGGACTGCTGCCAAGGGGTGTGGCCACGGTGGGGGGTGGTTTCCTGTTATTTGGCTGGACTATAATCTGATATCCCTGCATCAACCTCTGACAGATAAACTCTTCAAACACCTGTGAGGCAGTCATCACTGGAGCTTCATCATCTCGCCTGACAAAAGGATGGAAAGAAATAAACAAATGGCGTCAATTCGTCATAACTGACTGACTGAAAGTCATGAATGTCAACTTTTGCTCCTAGTGGGAAATTTAAAAATCCATCCATCCATCCATTTTCTTCCGCTTATCCGGGGTCGGGTTGCGGGGGTAGCAACCTAAGTAGGGAGGCCCAGACTTCCCTCTCACCAGCCACTTGGGCCAGCTCCTCAAGGGGAATCCCAAGGCGTTCCCAGGCCAGCCGAGAAACATAGTCCCTCCAGCAAGTCCTGGGTCTTCCTCTAGGTTTCCTCCCGGTGGGACGTGCCCAGAACACCTTACCAGGGAGGCATCCAAACCAGATGCCCGAGCTATCTCAACTGGCTCCTCTCGATGTGGAGAAGCAGCAGTTCTACTATGAGTCCTTCCCGGATGACTGAGCTTCTCACCCTATCTCTAAGGGAGAGCCCAGACACCCTGCGGAGAAAACTCATTTCGGCCGCCTGTATCCGTGATCTTGTTCTTTTGGTCACAACCCAAAGCTCATAACCATAGATGAGGGTAGGAACGTAGATCGACCGGTAAATTGAGATCTTCGCCTTTTGACTCAGCTCTCTCTTCACCATGACAGACCTGTACTGCGCACGCTTCACTGCCGACGCTGCGCCTATCCGCCCATTAGTCTCATGCTCCATCTTTCCTTCATTCGCGAACAAGATCCCTAGATACTTGAACTCGTCCACTTGGGGAAGGACCTCCTCCCCGACCCAGAGAGGGCACGCTACCCTTTTTGGGCTCAAGACCATGGTCTCGGATTTGGAGGAACTGACAGAAGGTGGGGGGTTGTGACAGCAGTCTGTCAATAAACACATTATTTTACCTGATGATGCTAATGAGAGTTAAGGAATACATTTCTTCTGCTACCTGTCATGCCAAAGTTTTAAACTAAGATTATCTTATGATGAGAAATTATGGCATTGTAGCGGTTTTGTTGAAACCTCGTAAATGACGTTATGCACAGTGCTGTGCTGTATTGCAAGAGGTCATTCACACAATGTGTTGATGATAAAGCTCAGCTACAACAACATCAAACTATCTTAAATTGGGCTGACTTGAAAAGTCAATGAATCCTAGAAATACTGTACATTCAGTGATTTTCTAAGTGTCAATAGCATCTAGTCAGCTGTTCATGAGATTTTTAGCCAGGGCTATAGACAAAGACATGCTTACACAGACACTTTCAACAAACAATAATTAACTTTAGTACAGCACATAAAGTTCAATTTACTCAACTTTGGGCCACACTCTTCACATTCATGGGTTTGGAAGTGTAGTACAGTGTCCAACATGTCCGATGAGAAAGTAACTAAAATAGCAAAATACTTTTTTAAAATGGCAAACCTTTCCAAGTTGCCATGTGGCAGCAGGTCATAGCAGCCCTCAGTGTAGTCATTCTGCAAAGTCTGCCGTTCAGGAAAGTAGTCGGTGGTGAGGGGGAGACAGGCCGGTGTGGTCAGGGACTTCCAGTCCACCCCCACTGTGCAGCAGAAGCTGGGCACTGTCGGGGGTGCAGACAGTAGCAGGGCTTCACACACAAAACAAATCCCCACCGCAAAAACAAATGCATGTACCCAGAGTGGACAGGTACATGTGTGTTGGGGTGGGGAGGATGATATAAGCACAGGGGGTGATAAGAAATTTAAAAAAAGGAGAAAGTGAAAGAGTAAGAGAAAGTAAACAAAAAAGAGATGGAAGGAGTAAACACAGACAAAACAGAACAGATGGAAAGAAAACAAGAACAAAGGTGTTACTTTTCCTTCTGGTGATTCTTGTCGTAGCTGTGAAGCAGTGATCAAACATGCAGACTTTGGTTCTGACACACTCAGCATCACCCAAAAAAAAGTGAGGCCCTGTCCACACAAGAACAGTTTATTTTTAACTGTAATATATATACAATCTATGGTTTGTGTACATTTACAGGTGTAATGGTATGCCTAAGTGCAAATTCAGTATGTATTCAGTATTTAGCTTGGTATGAGGGTCATGGTTCAATACAGTCCGTAACAAGAAAAATAAACAAAATGGCTATTTGCTACCTTTTTTCAACAGACACTAATGTTCCCAGAAGTAGAGTATCAGAGACCAATGCTTCATATCTGACATATGTAAGCTTTATGCACGTGATTCACCTCGTTTCCAGAGTCTGGTGTACTTTCTTGGCAGAGTTACAGCACTTCATACAGGCCTGGCAAAGTTACTCCAGGATTTTGGGCCATTTTCAGTGTTTCTGTGTGTGGATGAAACCGCTTAAAAAGCATACGGTGCATTATACACCAGTTGACAAATGATTATACAGCAATAGAACAATCTGTAGCAAAGACCTTAACAAGCTAAGACTGTATATATTCTTTGATCTTTGAGCTGGGGTGCTAAAATGATTATGCTGTCTACTGGGGATACAAATGTTTCTTGAGATTTGTTATAATTATCTTCAGCAGACCAGAAACATGGTTGTGGTAGATTGGTGGTTAGTGACATCTCCTTGTGATTCTGAGGTTGTGAGTTCAAGCCCAGGTTTCAACAGTAAGGACATTCGTCACGTGCGCCACAGTATGAAAGCACTGATGGGAGCTCTGCTTTGACTCACTCTTTTATGTTTAATCTAAAAAAGTTAAATCTGGTCCTCTGGACATTCAAAAAACCAAAAAAAAACAAAAAAAAACAAAGCAAAACAACAACAAAAAATGTAGAAACGTTTCGTCTTTCATCTGAAAGACTTCCTCAGTCTGAGGTGCTGTATTCAGCTCAGTCTCTTAAATAGCACCTTCTCAGAGTGGATCAACCAGTTTTGCTGCTGACAACCAGAACCAGCTGCTCACATGCTCAAGAAGGACCATCAGCCTAACAATGGATCATTAGCACACTGATGGCTGTTTACTATTCACAGAGGGCTGAGTGATACTAGCAATCACAGCATTGTAAGAGGGGGACAGTTGAACCCGGAGGCCTCCACCCCTGTTTAATGATGGAAGATTTCTTTTCACAAAGATGGCCTCCTTTACTCCTCTCTCAAACCATCGTTCCTCTCTATCCAGGAACAGCATACACAATATTACTCTGTTTGTGCCGGGGGACTGGATCTTTGGGATGAACCAGTCTTTGCCGTAATGTATTTTGTGGTTTAAAAGCCACTGGGACGTTGTGTTTTGAAAATAAACGTCACAGATTCTCTGATACTCCCTCAACATATGGAATGACCACTGGTCTGGGTTCCTCCTTTTCACCTGATGTCTGACTGGAGTCCTGTTTCTTGACCACGTGAGCAGCTGGTTCTGGTTGTCAGCAGCAAACTGGTTGATCCACTCTAAGAAGGTGCTATTTATAAGACAGAGCTGAATACAGCACCTCAGACTGAGGAAGTCTTTTGGATGAAAAACGAAACGTTTCTAAGTTTTAAAATTTTTTTTGTTGTTTGCTTTGGTTTTTTTTGAATGTCCAGAAGACCAGATTTAACTTTTTTAGATTTTTCTACCTGGATTATTGAACATGTATCAGGAGATCATTTTTTGTTTGTTTTGACTTTTTTGCGCCTGCACTGCACACCCACGCTACGGGTATGACCGCAACGCACTTTTGGAGTTTTGTGTGATGCTGCCTTGCCATTGTGACACCATGGTTCAGTTCCCAGCCCCCTTCCTGCCTCGGGCTCATGCTCCACCCTGTCATGGCAGTCGTCTCCATGATCCCCTATTTGCCTGAATGGACCAAACTCTACAGAAAAGTTCGGTTCTGATGGGAAACTTTGGATGATCTGTGTCTGCTGGAGCCGGTTCTGGAGTCATCAGTCATCATCCATAGCTGCATTTGTTGGTTTTTTTTTTTTCATTCAACCTTTATTTCTACAGGTAAATCCCATTGAGCCTCGAGGACTCATTTACAAGAGAGACCTGATTTCAACAAAGAATGATGACAACAATGGACAACAGTGACAACAATAGACAATTATAAAAAAACATACAATTATTATCTTTTTTAACAAATAGGATGGCTAAAAGAAAAAAGTAACAAAAACAGCTAAATCTAAGGTGAATGTAGAAAACTAAAAACAGGAACATGTCTGCATTGGTCCCTGCCAGGAGTCCAACAGATTCTTAAAGACACTTATGCCCCTTTTCCATTAGTACCGGTACGGGCCGATACAGCACGGCTCTACTTTACTCGTGATATAGGAATGATTATTTTGATGCTTTTATGTCAATTAATACTTATACTCAGCTTATCTGCTTAAAGTCAGGCCTGTGCTGCAGATGTGTTTTGGAGTAATTAAAGTTCTCTGGGGGATGCTCTAACCAGAAGATCGGGCCCAATCTTAAGGTTACAGTGACCCAGGTTTTGAAGGACATGTTTTTATGAAACCATCGCTCTGTTGCACAGACTGCTTTGATGAAGGAAAAACAGATTTAATTAAATCTGTTTTTCCTGGCAACCATCAAACTTGTTTTCCACTGCTCTCACGCGATCCGGTCAGGGAAAGGTATATAAGAAATGTGACAAACACAGAGAGTCGGAAGTCTTGTGTGGACCAGCGCGCTGGTGCCATGCGCAATTTTGATGTGATTCTTCTTTACCTGGGTCGAAAACGACTTCCCGGCCAGTGTCACGGTGAGAAGTTCTTTCATATCATTTTGTGTGTTAAGAGTGTACGAGTGTACATGTTTTTTGCTTGGCTGTTTTCTGTGGCAGGTTAATAAATGACACTTATTATTCCTAGCAGTAACAGCCTCTGGTGTTTTATTTTTTCCATCTTGTCTGAATATCTGTGCCGACCGTTCACGAGCCCTTTTGATAAAGAATTTCATAATACAACTCGGTACGGTACAGGTTGTGTTTCCATTATGCTTTCAGTACTGGTTTCAGTGGGTGGGGTTCAAATTGACGTCACCACCTCTCACCAGCTGGTGGCGCTGAGACGCAGAAACTGTTTTCAGTACAGGTTGAGAATTTATGTTATTTTGAAGTTGTGTGTATGTATGTATGCATGTACATGTGTATAAATATATATATATATTTACACACACACACACACACACACATATATATATATATATATATATAT